ACGATTTTAGATGATAGGCAAAAAGCTAGCCCACACTAAATGATGAATTACGACCTGAAAGATACGTGGAAAGAACATAATTCCCGATCTAGGGTTACAACTATTCTGATGGAAATTTAAATGGGTTAAGCAGTCTTCATCTAAAATCGTACCTCCGAGTCCCGTATGTTTTTCCTTTTCAGGAAAAGGACCGCATGGAAGGAATAATCAAGTGCTCGAGATTTCATACTTCAAAGCTCAAACACTTGGGGGACTATATAATATACATATGATATATGTATAAGGAAGGCAAAGAAGACTGAAAAATTTTATGAAAATTTCAAGTCGAGCCTAAAAGTCTACTCATCAAATATCAAGTTCAGAGCAAAGTCACGAGCCAATTACACAAGCCTGATCAAAAAACCTATGGAGAGTACACTCATGTATATAGATCTCAAAATCTCACGATGTTTAGGTTAAAGGCAATATTTAGCCATGGGTTATAAAGAAACCCTTGGATTTTCTTTATTTTTTGAATCTGTTGTAAAGAAAACAGTTACGGAAAGGTAATAGAAGATATTCAAATACATGTAAGATGTTATTTAAACTTGACAAAGTTCGAATGAAAACTTTATCAAAGTTATTTCAAGAAACATGTGTGTTCCTATTTCTTTTCCGTATGTTTACACCATTATGAAGTTGAGACGTCTTCTTCATTAAGTGTCATATATAAAAGGGCCCTCTTTTATAAATTCATGTTTGATTCAAAGATGCATGAAGTTAATAAAGCATTTCTAAAAATGCAAAAAGCCAAAAGGGTAAGACAAAAACCCACGAATCAAAAAGCAAGACCTTGGACTTATAAAAACAAGGCAAAAAGAGTGAAACAGAAACTCGAGAGAATTGAGTTGAAACAGAAAATTTATAATATTAAACTAAGTACGAACTTAGTCATAAACTGATTGTCATTTTTTACAAAAAGCCCCGAAAAGACCTGGGGACTTGACATCAACAAAAAACATAACCCCCAAATGGGACCAGGGGTAAAATCACCACATATTCCACCAAGAAAAAAAAGAGACAAAGTCAAATTTCACAAATAAACTTTCACTGTGGAGCAGGAGAAGGGTTCAAAATGGCATCATCAGCAACAGAAGGCTCGACTTGATCTGAAGGAGCTGGAACATTCATCGCACTAGGGTCAGCTTCAACGTGCTCAGGAGTATCGGCCATAGGAGAAGAAAAACTTTGGCTTTGCTGAGTTTTTTCAATGGTTTCTTTTATCTTAGCTAACTCAGCATCCAAGTTAAAACCCTCTTGGCTAGCTTCCACAAGAGTATCATGGCGCGTATTCAAAATAGCCCAACTCACTTCAACAGCTGCTTTATCCTCAAGAGCCTCATAATCTCTTTCCCATTGGTCAATTTCACTCTAAAACTATTCCTTTTCAGCCAAAGCAGTATCATAAGAAGATTGCAAAGGGGCAAGTGAACTCTCCAAAAATTTGACCTTATCAGAAGACACACGAAGATCTTCTTGGGTCTGAGTAAGTGTTTGAACAAGATCACCTGCATAAGCTTCTTTTTCGCTCAACAAGGCCTTCAAGCTTCTGATCTCTTCGGAGGCTTTAGAGAGTTGTTCAGCAAATGATGACTCGAGGAAATTTCTATCCTTGCCTGCCTGATTGTTAGAAGCCTTCTCAACGGCCAACTCTGAAGTTACAATCTTCAACTGCTGCTCTAAGGTACATTTGTTTTCTTCTAAAACCTCCATTTCAAGCTGGAGACTGTCATACTGCTCTTTCCAGTTGTCTGCCTCGATCTGGTAATCATGCATCAATTGTTCTGTCTGGGAAACCCTTTTCATCATCTCCGTGCCGACGAGATTGATCTAAAGGAAAAAAGGGAATACAAAAGAATCTTAGTAAAAGAAAAACGGTATATAATATGAAAAGAAATTTATACCTTCAACGATGATTGCACGATATCATTCATCCAAGTCAGAGAACTATGACTTTCCAGCTTGGATTTTTCAACTGGACCGATGAGGGGTTTCAACCACACGTCAGCTTGACCTGACTTCTTTAGAAGATTACCTTCAGCAGGGACCTCAATGGTAATTTGTTTCATCACTCTACCTCCACTTGAAGAACCAACTTCTTCGAGAAACATTAGTAGCGGGGACTGTAGAGGAAGTCATAATAGCTTGAGGCGGAGCAGAAGCAGTAGCAGTAAAAACTGGCAGAGAATGGTCCATGGGAACAGACGCGGGAAAGGAGGCAAGAGGTACTTCATCAGACACCAAATCAAAACTTTCACTATCAAACCCAAGAGAAAAACGTTGTTCATCAGAGCCACGAGCAGCCATAGGAGTGTCATCTTCTGAGCTCACTAAGGTGGCTTCAACAGACTCGGTCACGGGAACAGAACGGGGAGGAGTAACTTCATCATCTGAAAAAACGCGCCTTCTAACACGCGGCCTTTTAATCAAGGAACCTTCATCTCGTTCCTCTTCCTCTTCAGAATCTTGGGGTTTGTCAGCTTTCCTTTTCGATGAAGAACTCAGAATTATCTCCTGAGCCCTTGCCAAAGAAAGTCTGGAAGCTGTGATCGAATCGGCACTTACACCACGAATAGGAAACCCTGATAAAAGAAGGGTCAAATACATTCTAAGTGAAGAATGCACAAAAAAAAAGGAGAAAGGGGGTAAAGCATTTACCATGAGTTTTAACCTTCCAACCAAACCTGTGAGAAAGGTTTTTCCAAGATCTACCTTCCATCGGAGCAACAATCAACAATTTCTCTACCCAACCACGAAAATTGGGAATCTCGTCAACAGTTCCCATGGTTGCTGAAAAAAAGAGGGAGTTAGGCAGTCACGAGAAAAACAAACCACTTCAAGAGAAAAAAGAGGAAGAGAAAGTTGCAGAAATAAACTTACGTGCAAAATTCCACTTTTCAGGGAATGGTATATTTTCTTCACCTACTAACCCTACAGTAGGAGCAGCAACAAATTTGGCATACCAGCCACGGTCCTTATCATCCTCAGGGCTGACTAAAACTCTCTTACTCCTCGCTACCAAAGTAAAGATCCCATGTCGGAATAACTTAGGGGAGTGGAGGTGAATCAGATGAAAAAAGGTAAAAGGCAAATTAGCCAAGCTAGCCAAATGCCTTAGACAAGCAACAACCCTCCATACAATGGGGCCAATTTGTCCAAGACAAAAAATGAAAAAACGACAGAACTCGATGATAACAGGATCAATGGGAGGTCTAAAATTCAGTGTAAAAGGATATGTATACACGAAAGAAAATCCAGTCATGTAGGATGTGATTCTTTGATTTGCATTAGGAATTATGATGGGGAAGTCAGATTTCCAATGGCAATCTCTACGAATGACAGAGATTAAACCTTCGGTAATTTGAGAAGGATAGACATCAGCACGATCAAGAGAGGACATAGAGGAAACCTGATTTCTAATCGATTCCCTATCAGAATAAAAAGAAAGTTCAGAGGGGACAATTTCATCTACTAAGGGTTCACGAACTGGTTCATTGGAATCTCTGCTTTTAGAAGAAGCTCTGTGTGGAAGAGAACCCCTGGTTCTAGAAGAAGAAGGAGGAGTGGAACTAGGTAAAGATGAAGGCGAACCTCGAATGGAGCCTAAGCTACGTAACCTACCTCCTCTCATGCTCCTAGTTGGAGCAAGAGGAAGTTCATCTACAATAAGAACTTTACTAGGATCAGGATTTGAAGAAGACATGGCTGAACAAAGAAGAAGACAAGAATGGATATTCAAAGTTAAGAAACTTTTATGAGAAAGACAAGACAAAGGTTATATTTATACTCAGAAGCAACCGTCAAACAAAAAAGGTAATGATGGGGGCGTCATAATGAAAACTGTCACTTCGTGGTTGGTGCAGCCGCAAAAAAGCCCTAAAAGACGCTGAAGGGTTGCAAACCCAATTAAAGGACGCCACGTGTCACGAGCATTAAATGGAAGTGACATACAAAGCGTCAGTTCTGAAGAAGGTATAATGGCGGCAAAAATTTCCGCTTTAATGAGATCCACTTCCCAAATATTCAATTGTTGAATAAATGGCAAGTGGGGGGACTGTCTGTATTGGGAAAATCAAGTTAACATATCGAATTAATATACCAAGACACGTGGATCAATAAAAGAGTGACAACTGGCAAAGGATAGCTGAAGAGGCACGAGCTTTGACAGGCACGGGCAGAGATTCAAGAAAAACAGGGAGGAACAGTTACTCGAGCCTCTTGGTAATATGAAAAGACATTAGAGGAATGAACCTGGATAGCAAAAAGTACAAATACGTATTATCCACAATTAATGAGCATCAATGATGGAAAACGTTATAGAATCTTCACGAAACAGTTACGATTACCAATTATAACGTTATATTAAATATCTTTAATTGCTCATAATGGCTCTATTATGAGAGGAAAGGAAACGTATTATTGAGAGATAGCTATAAAAGGAGAGATATAACACTTGTAAAGACACACAATATTATTGGAATACACTGATTTACTTTGCTTTCTTTTTACTTAGCTATCAGTAATCCTAATTCTTCTTATTTACTTTAAATTTGATTATCAGTAACCCGAGTTCTTCTAAAAAATACGCTTTGACCCGAATTTCTTATTTTCTGGTTAAACACTCCTAATAGAAGAAGAATTTGAGCCCGTATGGATTGGCGGGTTTTCTGCCGAAATAGCTTTTTCAAGCTAAAAAGCAATAAGTTGGGGTTGCCCAGCTTATTGCTGCTTTTGGCTTGTTTTAAGTAGTTTGTAACTTATTTCCATCATTTTTTAACTTTGTCAAACGCTTAGAAAAGCTAACAAAGAGCTTAAAAGCTGATTTGACCAGCTTAAAAGCTAATCCAAACACCCTCTAACTTGTGACATGTGACTGTTTTTAGCTTATAAGCACTTGGCTTATAAACACTTTGAATGTTTAGCCAACGCATAAATAAGCTTATAAGCCAGTTTGATTAGCTTATAAGTTAACACCCTCTTAATATAGCAAGTTTCACCATATTTTATGTACTAAGTTGCACTTAGGAGGCGTGACTGAACCCAAGCATGAAATATTATTTGGAAATTGGAATCTCCAAGTTTGGCCGATATCCATAAATCTCCACTTTTAATACCAATTAAATCTCTTATAAGGTAGATTTTTGCATAATTAGTTTAGTTTCAGAATCGTGCCAGTTGGTCTTTCTTGGTCCTAAAAAGAACAGATATTTTGCAAGGTAGATCTTGCATGGTGCATTGACGCGTCAAACATTTCTTATGAACCAACTGAAACAAATACACGCCCACACTCTCCGAAATGGCACCGACTTCACCCAATTCTTGATTACCAAGCTTATTGAAATCCCAAACATACCGTACGCCCACAAAGTGTTCGACAATATTACCAGACCAACTGTCTTTCTCTACAACAAGCTCATTCAAGCCTATTCTTCTCATGGCCTTCCCAGCCAGTGTTTTTCTCTCTATATCCATATGCGCCGGCAAGGCTGCTCCCCTAATCCACACTCCTTCACTTTCCTCTTCGCCGCATGCACCAGCCGTTCCAGCCCCATACAAGGCCGAATATTCCATGTCCATTTCATCAAATGGGGTTTCAATTTCGACATCTACGCTTTAACTGCACTTGTTGACATGTATGCTAAAATGGGCCTGTTGCCTTCTGCGCGAAAGCTCTTCGACGAGATGGAAATGAAGGATGTGCCCACTTGGAATTCTTTGATTGCAGGGTATACCAAGAATGGGAATGTGGAAGAAGCTTTCAAGTTGTTTTCAGCAATGCCTTCAAGGAATGTGATTTCCTGGACAGCAATGATTTCAGGCTATTCGCAAAATGGCAAGTATGCGAATGCATTAACTGTCTACAAGGAAATGGAGAAAGACAAAGGAGTAAAGCCTAATGAAGTCACAATTGCTAGTGTGCTTCCAGCTTGTGCGAATCTTGGGGCGTTGGAGGTTGGGCAGAAAATTGAAGCTAATGCAAGGGCAAATGGATACTTTAAGAATATGTTTGTCTGCAATGCTGTGCTTGAAATGTATATGAAATGTGGTAGAATTGATAGGGCAATGCAACTCTTTCACGAGATTGGTAGGAGGAGGAACTTGTGTTCTTGGAATACCATGATCATGGGGTTAGCTGTCCATGGAAAAGGTGATGAAGCTCTTAAGCTTTTCAACCAAATGCTGGTAAGCCTTTGCAAATATTCTATTCGTTCTTTGAACATCCAAATTACAGCAAGCACGAATTAGCATTTATAGTGGAATTCATATTATTGTGCTACTGTTGATACAGGGAGAAGGAAATGCACCTGATGATGTAACGTTTGTAGGAGCAATCCTAGCATGCACACATGGAGGCATGGTAGCAAAGGGCTGGGAACTCCTCAGTTTGATGGAGCAAAGATTCTCCATAGTTCCAAAGTTGGAACACTATGGCTGTATGGTTGATCTCTTAGGCCGGGCTGGAAAGTTGCAGGAAGCTTATGATCTTATAGAGAGCATGCCAATGACACCTGATTCGGTTATATGGGGAACTCTGCTTGGAGCCTGCAGCTTCCATGGCAATGTTGCACTGGCTGAGAAAGCAGCCGAGTTCCTTTCTGTGTTCGAGCCGTGGAATCCTGGAAATTATGTTATTCTCTCAAACATCTATGCAAGAGCTGGCCGATGGGATGGTGTTGCAAGGTTAAGGAAACTGATGAAGTCCTCCCAGATTACAAAAGCAGCAGGGTACAGCTTCATTGAGGAGGGAGGAGATATTCATAAGTTTATAGTAGAGGACAAATCCCACCAAAAATCAAATGAGATATATGCACTGCTTGATTTAGTCACGACTATATTAAAGTTCGATGAAAGCACCATTGATATTGATTTGGATTCTATTGTTGAATAAATTTTTTGGTGATAACCTGATTAGTTTTTGGACCTACGTTTCTCTAATTCCTATTATGTCTAAAGCAACAAGTGATTCCTGCTCTACCTACTCAGATTATACAAAACCTAATGTAATTAAAACTTGGTTAACATTTTCAGGGCATATCGTAAGGCATAATAGACCCTTGTGGTCCGGCCCTTCCCCGGACCCCGCGCATAGCAGGAGCTTAGTGCACCGAGCTTCCCTTTTATTATAAGGCATAAAATGTACAGCTTTCTCTTTCCAAAAGAGGGAAGGAAAAAAAAAAGGAAACAACAATAGCTTCGGGTGGAGATGCATAATTTCAAGCACACACCACCAGAAGAGGTCGCATTAAGTTCATCTACTGTAAGATGGCAGAGTCAATAATAAATGAATGATACAAACTAGAATCTGTGATACATGAAACCCTCTTAGAAAGGATCAGGGGGAAAAACACCAGGTTTTGCTTCAGAAGCTTTGAATTTTTTGATAACAAAAACCACCCAATGCATGTGATCAAAGGCTATATAGCTTGCAGAGTTCCTAAACAAATGTCACCAGAAAAAAGATTTTGCATTTGCAAACAATATAAATTTAATTCCCACCTAACTGCACATCAGCTCAAAGCACTTTAAATCAATAAAATCGAGCGTTTCCGAGATGAATACATTATGCAGCTTTTAGTTTACTTCTCCATCTTCTTCTCCTCCCCACAAATTTGAGGACTTCATCAATAAGAATAACTGGGGCAGAAAGCAAGATGACAAGAAGCCATTCATTTAGGCTCAGTGGGACAATACCAAATATATCTGCTAGGAAAGGAATATAGAGTATCAGGCAATGTAGGCCAAACGAGACTGACATTGCAACAAGAAGCCAAGGGTTTCTCCAGGGTGGCATTTTGATCAAGCTGTTGTCTTCAGAGAGAGCATTGAGAGAATTAAACATCTCAATTGCCACCAGGACAGAGAGTGACAAAGTCATGGCCTTCACTTTACCAACAGTAAAGTAGTCACAAGGGTGTGAAAAAGTAATCAGGCGGTTACCAGCCGTGAACGGACTCACAGTGAAATTTGGCCATGCGGAGCACTCACCCCAGTTGCGAAGCTGTGATAGTTCAACAAGTGTGTGGCCATCACTCACAAGATCAATACCAAGGAAAGAAGCCTGAGTATACCACACTATAAATATGCCGACCGTTGCAATGCCCACATAAGAACCAATGACCTGAAAATATAACAGAAACCAGAATGTAAGTTGCAGCTTAGCTTGTCGAGAAGTTTACTCAATATATTGAAGATCAGATGAACATGTGATAAAAAGTTATAGTTGGTTGCTTAGGTAACAGAGCATCTCACTCTCTTTGGTGCATCCACTTCTTTTATTAAGCAGCTTATAACAGTTGTTGCTTATGCAGGGAAGTGATCTAGATGGATAAACATATTTTCCTTGATTGCACTGTTATTTTTGGAGAATATCCAAGCTGAATGGTAGAGCTGATTTTTTATATAGTATAACAGGGTGAACCACATGGCCAGGAAAATGCTGCAGCACGCACAGCCTATGCCGTTGATACTCTAGTCAAATGAGGCCTTCTCAATTACTACTAGTACTTTCTTCACCTACTTATTGGAGAATAATAAAGTGTGAAAAAACTGAAAGAAATAAAGCAGATTCATTTCTACCTATTGGAGAAAATTGAAGAAGTAACTAATAGAACTTAGAGGGGGAAATTGGAAAGAAATAGCGATACCATATAGCGGAAGAAAACCCAGGAATTTATGAGAGCATCATTGCTCTTCCTAGGCGGTTTCTGCATTATGTCAACATCAGCAGGGTTAAATCCGAGAGCCGTAGCAGGTGGGCCATCTGTTACCAAATTTACCCAGAGCAACTGCACGGGTATCAAACATTCTGGTATGCCCAAAGCAGCAGTCAAGAAAATGGAGATGACCTCACCAACGTTAGATGATATCATATATCTGCACCAAAGAATAATAAAGATGAAATTAAGGAAGAAAAAAGCATGATTAATCTAGGAATAATCAAATACTCATTACCAGAATCACAAGACTAACCTGATGAAGGCCTTCATGTTATTGTAGATCGAACGTCCCTCTGCAACAGCAGAGACTATAGTACTGAAATTGTCATCTGCCAGAACCATATCAGAAGCTTCTTTTGCAACCTAAACATATTATTCTCTGATCAGCTAATTAATACAATGACCAATAAGTTAACATATTTAGGAAAACTTCACATGCAGGGTGCACAATCACGGTAACTTCTCAAGATTTAGATGATGAACTTAGTGTCATAGCATGACGAGCAATCCCTCCGAAGACCTCAGTACTCTACTATTCCAAAAGTGTATTTTAGGTAGTCAACGGTCAAATAATTGCACTGAGAGCATTAATGCAACAATTCAGAAATTGAGTTGTAACAACTACACAAAAAAAAGTTTATTTCACCTCAGTTCCTGTGATGCCCATGGCTATTCCAATGTCAGCAAGTTTTAGTGCAGGTGCATCATTGACGCCATCTCCAGTCATTGCAACAACTTCACCCATCTCCTTCAGCATCCTTACAATTTCTTGTTTGTGCCTGGGTTCAGCACGAGAAAAGACCTTGCCTCCATCTTTTGACAATATCTCAATTTGCTGCTGCGAGGAAAGTGCCATGAATTCTTTGCCGGTAAAACTACTCCCTCTAAGATTCTCACCATCAGAAAATAACTGAATTTCCCTGCAAACAGCCTCAGCTGTGGATTTATTATCTCCAGTTATAACCATGATTTTGATCCCAGCTCTTCTGCAGTCATTTACTGCCTTGTGAACTTCCTCACGTGGGGGGTCCTGCATTTCATTCATTTACATAAGAAAATGATGGTTTTCTAGTTAGTTATTTATTGTTCTTGGAAACTTAAAAGTACTCACCCTTAGACCAACAACTCCTACAAAAACTAGATCACTTTCTATGGAGGAGTAGCAGGACGGATCAAGCAGCTTCTTATGAGCAGGATGAGTCTCGGCATAATATCCTGAAAGCTCGCCCAAATCATCTTTATATGCCAAGCCCAAGCATCGCAGACCCTTTGAACTCATCTGCAAGTGTCTCAACAACAATAGTTGCCGACAGGACTCGTCAATGGGAACAGTTGATCCATCTGCAAGTTGAACATATGTACTACGTTCTAGCAAACTCTCAACAGCACCCTAGACAAAACAAGTTTTAATCAGACATGCACAGATTACCAAGCTCAACTTGTGAACAAGTGATCATTCAACATCAATGGAGAAAAGCTAGGCATTTCCTAAAGTGAATGACATTGCTATGGAACTAAACTCCGGAGAAGCATCTTTGACAGAAAGAACAGATAACACTTCTAACTGTTGATACCCACTTTTGGAAACTGAAGAACATTAATAAACAGTTAAGCTGCCACAGCATTTAGTAAGGACTAACATTGAACCTACTCCTAGCGATGAAGATAATGCAGACTCAGTCTCTTGCTAACTGAAATTTTTCTAGGCATATACTGCCTACAGCACATCAACAAGATAAAAATAAAAACTTTTCTGGCCTAGCTGGGTATATCGAAGCCAACAGTCAAATAAAGAAAAATATTTTAGAGACCAATTATCTCTAGTCTCTAATGTAGTTCAGAAACCAGTATATTCAAAATAAAAATATGTGATTACACTGATCTCATTACTATTTATGTATCATAAATGACATGAAATAACCTTGACAAGTAGTCGATTGCTCCCATTTGGCTCCCGCACAATAACACCCATGGATTTGCGAACACGATCAAATTCCAATGCTGCAACCCTTTTTGATCTTTTCATCCACCATTCACAGCATCCTGTATTAAAAAATAATCCTCAATACACTGGTTTGAAATAGTAGTAAATAGATAGATGAGTGAAGTAAAGTTATGGTCACCTAATTTAACTGTGTTGCGATCAATCAAATAGCTTGATACAATCTGTGCATCGCGGATCTTGCTCCTCGCTTTGCTATCCGGTACTCCCATCTTTTCCACCAAAACTTTGAGAGCTGCCTCAGTAGGCAATCCAGTTGCTTTGAATAGACGACCATCGCAGAAGACCCCAGCATCATTGCAAATTGCACATATTTCAGCCATGACTAGCAAGTTAGCATCCATGTTGTAGCAATTCCAGTCAACTATTCCCCCATCCTTAGGATCATAAGTAGTCCCTTCGACGCCAAAAGTTCGCCAGGCTGTAGTTTTCCCTCCCAATGTGAAGAATTCTGTCACAGACATCTGATTGGTGGTCAAGGTTCCTGTTTTATCTGAACAAATCACAGTTGTGCATCCTAAGGTTTCCACACTTGGAAGTTTCCGCACTATTGCGTTCTTTTGTGCCATTTTCCTTGTACCCAGAGCTAAGCAAGTAGTAATCACAGTAGGGAGACCTTCAGGAATTGCAGCCACTGCAAGAGTAACAGCTATCTTGAAATAATATGTGCATTTCTCAAATGAGAAACGGATGTCTGAAGGCCATCCATCCACAACCTCCCAAGTAAGGAAATATTTGTAGTTGATCGCCCACACGACTAGGCAAACAATGCCAATAGCAGATGTAAGCCTATTACCGAATTCATCAAGTTTCTTCTTCAAAGGGGTGTCGCTTTCTTCCATTGATGCATCATGGATTTGTCTTTGAATCTTACCAATTTCTGTGCACATCCCTGTGTCCACAACAATGCAGATGCAGCTACCGTTCACGACTGTAGTTCCAGCAAAAACCATGTTCTCTTTGGCCTGCAATTCACAATCATCCATAGGAACTGAATCTGTGCTTTTAGCAACTGGCATTGATTCCCCTGTCAAAGAACTTTGCTCAACCCTTAGAGTTGAGGATTTTAAAGTGGCAACTCTCATATCAGCTGGCACTTTGTCACCAACTCGCAGTTCCACGATATCCCCCGGGACAAGCTCCCTTGCTGGTAAATCTGGTACTAAATATCCATCTCTGAATACTTTTGCA